AACATTTATCATTTAAGTCGGTTTTTAAACAGTTTGAAGAATATAAACATGGCTGTATAGACTCTCAAAACCGTAACCAAGAGTGACTTGTTTTAATTTGTCTGCAAATTATCATGCAATATTTATTTATTTGTTTGTTTGCTCTTAGTTTTGGCCAAATAATTCTATTTAGACGATCAAAATTCACATTACATGATGTATTTTGAGTAAACCAGTTTGTACCAAAGTGCATACAGAGTAAAAACATCCTTTCCAAAGCACAGAGCTGATTTTACAGGAGATGCTGCCAATGTTTTATAGATATTCAAGAGGCTCTTTATAGCTGCACTCTGAAAGCTTTTATTTTGAAACCACAAAGATCTTTAAATGAAGCTCAACATTTAGAGATGCATCACCTTTCAAGCCTTTGTGGACTTGTTTGTCAAAAGCTTTTAAAAAGATCAGATAGATGTGATAAAAGTTGAGGAATGTTGATAAAACCTCCCGGTTAACAGTGTTATTCAGCGTGATGCAGTGTGGGAGGAAGAGGCAGAGCAGCTCAGTTTCCAAGCTTTTCTTTTTTTATATCTAGAAGTTAGTTCATATTTATGAAAATTGAGTCATGGTGGTTATCAAACCAGCTAAAAGTGTATTTTCAAAGTGTAATTCAATCTGTGTTACATAACCCTGTTACCTTACTCACCACCAAACTCTGCAGTAGTTTCATGATGCGGATGACTTGTTGACTTGTATGGAGTCTTATAAGCTTCTTGTGCATTGAGTTTTTATTTTAACACCGTCCTATGGGCTCATACGTGTTCCCAAAATATTTCCTGAATGAGAAATCAAATGTAGCATTTAAAACATTTTAGATTAACTCAAATGTTTGCTCAGGTGCACATAGTTTAGGGTTTTTGTTTTTTTTTATTTGTTTAATTTTGATCAGAAATATCTTGTTCTAGGAGAGAATAAATGCTGCATATATATAAATAAATGTTTTACTGTTTGCCATGGTAACACATACAAGTGTTATCGTGCAACAGAGTGTCAACATGAGTCACTCATTTATACATGAGTCATGTTGCCAGGGTTTTTATGAGCTGTCGGAAATGGCCTGTTTAGTGGAGGAGGTGTTTATGAGTGTGTTCTTGTTTCTGTTTTGTGCTGCAGACACACATGCGTGTATGTGTGTTTCATATTTACCAATTCCCCTGCCTTATTAATACAGGCTGGTTATAATTAGCTAGTTTCTATCTAAAGCAGGTTAGTCCAAGGCGTTGTACTCAAACTGGGTCACTGCAGCAGATCGAGGAGAGGAGGAGAAGACGAAGGTAATGGAAGAAAGTGTTTTACTCATCGGGCGCTACAGATACATGCAGTTTGTCGAATGAGTCTGCATTAAGATTTCTTATCTGTTTAGCTTATTCATCATTCAGATTTTATTTGAAAAGTATAACATTTTTCATCATAGTTCTCATTTTCAAATGATAGTTTTATTTTAACTTTAGTCTTGTGTCATCAAGACAAAATGGGCTGTCAACAGAAATGTTGTCAGTTTTCACTGATGAATTTGAAACTCCATTCAGCAAAACCAAAATATGACGTTCTCCAGCCAATGTTTAACCGGAATTCAGTTTGGGAAACAAGAGGTTGTGTAAGAAGCTGATACCATGAGGCGTAGTCATCTTGCTATTAGCTATAGATATACAAAGTAGTTTGTTAGCACACAGCAGCTAACCTCAAAACTGATTTTTCTAGCCAAAGAGTATTAGTCCACAGCTAGTTAGCCAGCCTACTGACCTTCCAGCATCATCAGTGGTCATGAATAAATTTAAGATTTGTCTAGTGTTTGGGTATTTTGATCAGACATACATCTTTGCAAGTTGCACACCATGCCTAAGTGCACATTGAGAGACTCCGCCTACTCAAGTCTAATATATAAGCAGATCATTTATACATCTCACGCTGTTTCTGAGAAATGTTTTTAGAACTTCAGCCTGAGTAGAAAGGACACGGCACATGATGGACAGAAGGGTCAAACAGCTAAATGATAGGATGGTAGGATCTAGAAGATGAGTGAGGGCTGAAAGGATTATTATCCAGTTGGTGTTTTCATTTTGGAAGAATGTAGCTGGAGCTCCATTTGGTAAACAGTGTGTGGGGAAAGACCTTTAATTTCTACACTAAACTGAATTAAACTCACTACAAACACATCGGTTACTAATGTGCATCAGGGAATTCAGATTAAAACAAAGAAGGTTAAGCGTCATTGGACAAATTAAACAAAGGGCTTTTTTTTTTCTCTCCTCTACATTCATGGTTGTGATCCCTGCAGTTTGTATTTCATCACTAGCAGAGCTGAGGAAGGGCAGGGGAGTGTCAGGTTTCCTGTCTTATGTGCTCATGCTTTGATTTGGCTGAACACTCAGAGATGAGAACAGAGCCCACCCAGCATGGAAAGCTCCAAACACTGAACTACCGCAACAATCCATTTACAAAAGTTGCATAGGACAAACATTTGGCAGAAATGGAAAGACAGATGAGGTTTCCTCTCATAAGACTGAACCTGTAAATGATCTTCACATTCAACATGCAAGTCATAATTATAACTGGGAAAACTTGGAATTTTTGAAAGCTCTAATTTTTCTGACGCGGCATTTAAAAACATGGAATTGCCAAACACAAACAAACGCAGACAGCAGTCATTCGTCATGAGTTGCCCGGTGACCTAAACACTTACACAGTGTAATCATGGGAATATTACTTCCATCCATCCCACATGACATGAATGTGGATTTTAAGACAATGGAGCCCGCACCCACACAGTCTTAACAAGAAGTCAAATCTCCCAAAATAAGTAAAGGATAACGCAGGGATTCATGTCACATTTTACTAGATCTTTGGAATAATAAAGTAATACAGACATCTTCCAGCTCATTTGATTTTATGTCATTGTCTCTGTCCTGGAAGTTTTATTGCACATGTCCAGGAGGGAAAACTTCTTTCTGACTAAACAACCTTCCCAGCCTCTCTTTGCTAAATGTTTGTACTTACAGTATGAACCTGGAGCAAAGGCCTGATTAGCCAGAGTAACTGAAACCACCTGAGTGGGTGTGCAGGACCTTAAACTACTTAAATTTATTTATAGTGAGGTGTCAAAAACAGCTGTTGTTGAGGCAAGTGTTAAAGGGATTTAATGGGAGTTATAGCTATTAAAAGGCATTTAATAATAATCACTGTAGCTTTATTTGATCCCAAATCTTCCATCTGGTTGTATGTGGTCAGTCCATCTCAGCCAAATCAGGACATTTTGTTATTTTGAGTGCGTGTGTATTTCTACAGTTAAGTATTTCCAGCGGTTCGCCCAGGTGGCAGACAGAACAGTGGTGTTACAAGGTGCTTTGCCCTTGTGAGAGAAAGTGCCCCTGTAGCAATAATCCTATTTTAATCTGCCTCCTGAGGTTTCATGTCCTGGATTATCAAATATGAGGCTAGAGAGGGAAGCGCTGAGACGCGATGAATCAGAGGCGGTTTAAAGAGACAGAACACTGCAGAACCATGCTAAAAACTATGTTGGAGCAGGTGCTGTTAGATTCAAAGCCTGAAACAAATTGTGGTTTTGTTCAAGGTTTAAGGCCTTGATGGGCTAGTTCAACATGCACAAAAGACTTTTTTCTGACTTAAACCTAAAGTGCTATCTTGCCATGTTGATGGTTTGTATTTAATTTGTTAAGGTTTTACAGATATCTGTTTCAATTGAGCTGAATGGAAATTGGTTCTGCTTTTCCTTCCAGCTCAGAGAATTGAAAAAATTCATTTGAAAAACATCTATGTTTTGTTAAACTGTCAGACTTAATGAAAAAAGCAAAACCAAACCATGACGCTTGTGATACCAGTTTGAAGGAGGTGAAAACAACTGAGTGAGAGAATGTGAACATTTGTGACTCGACAAAGGAGGTCAAATCTTACCTTATAAAGGAAGAATGGCTGGTCTCTTCTGTCGCAACACCACCTCCTTTTCCTCCTTCGAACTGAGAAGACACGTGTAATTTTCTATTAAAAGAATCTGCAGCTTCAGCTTGTGAAGAGACATCTGTATTATATCAGAGTAACAGCTAAACACAGAGTTGAAAACAGTCAATACAAAACCACATGAAACGGGTGACATCTTCTTTTCATATCTAGAGTTTATACCAACTTCCTCAGTGCAGGTGGTGGTCCATGTTAGCAGGATAAAAACATCCAAATCTGTACTTACCTGCTTTGCTCATGTGAGCTTTTCTGCACATGTGAATGAGTGCATGTGTGTGTGTCATGGCAGGCATGTGCTGGTATGCATTCACGAGGTGTCGCATCCACAAGCGTTGAATCTGATTAGCTTTGATAACAAAACTGACAAGCAGCATATTCCTTAGCTTCCTCCCCTCATGGCAAAGCAATGATGAGGACCAGATTCCTCGGGCCTAACGCTGAAATTAGATCAGACCAATCTGGAGAGAGTGTTTAGAGGCTCGTGCAGAGAAAGGGGGGAGATAACACCAGCAGGGAATAATCAGATTATGGAAATAATGGATATCAGTCATCGTTTGATGTGACTGGGTGGGTTTGTGCAGCTTTGGGAAGTCTCGGATTGTTGTTTGAGGGGGAGCGGAGGGGGAAAGACGGATGGAGAGACAAGTTATTGTGCTTTGGTGAAGTGACAGCACCAGCTCGCATCTGTTCTGTCAGACTGTGATTACTGACAAACACTTTGCTTCCACTTCAGTTTACAGCCATTCAAACAGGATCATTCCTGTTTTGGATATGAATAATCTTTTTTCTGCATTTTGCTAATTTGAACAAATTTGTGAAGCTGCAGACTCTTGTCACAAATGCAAGAAGGCAGGCATGAGGGCAAAGGTTTAAACAGACTAATAATGCACACTGTAGCTTGTCATACTGTTTTCATCTTTATTTGAAGTAAAAGCAACATAAGCTGCAGTAGCTCTCTCTGACTTCCTGATTCCTGTTTCCTACTGCAGAGGAAGGCGAGTACTTCCTGAAGGTTTTGATTCCCAGCTATGCGGCCGGTTCGATCATCGGGAAGGGAGGTCAGACCATCGTCCAGCTGCAGAAAGAGACCGGAGCCACCATCAAACTGTCCAAATCCAAAGACTTCTATCCCGGTAAGACACCGCTGCTGCCGATGGACGGGTATGATGTGGATCATAACACAGAAAGACAAGGTGTTGCTCAATACAATATGCACAAAACAATATAAAAATAATTAATTTGAATACATTTTGTGTTCTCCTCAACATGCTATAATCTTATACACACAGAAAAGTAGACACCAAAAAATACACTGATGCAGGGGTGGATGGATGGATTGGGTCATTGTTGAAAAACAGTGAACACAGCCAATGTACCATAAAATTTAAAAGCTATGGGTTGGATTGATGCAAATGAGTGACATATGAATGAGTGAGAACCTGCTGACCTGCTGCTCTTTATGCTGTGGGTTAGATGCATGGATTTATAAGGGCTCTGTTCTTCATGTGTGTATAGCTCTGATTTCATGTTGTCCAAGTCTGTGAGTCCTCAGGGAGAGAGGGACCTTGGCTGGGTTCATGTTGTACCACTCATCAGCACACACATACAAACACAAACACAAACACACAGTCCACCAGAAATCAGGATTATGGGTAAATTCTAAATTCTGCCCTGACATGACGTGACTGGAGCAGCAAGGAGGGGGAGGCTGTGATCTGTGTGTGTGTATCAGCCTGTACTCTGGTCTAATCTAAGGCTTTGGTTGTTTGTTTGAGCTGTGCAGGAGATGGAATAGATATTAGCAAACGGTTTCTAACTAAACACATGTGAATGTGATACAGATGCAACCCTGTGTGCTTTAAAGTACACTTATGTACTTTGCACATGCTTTGCAATTTGTTGTTTTTTGAAATCAGGCATCCTTGTGACATCTTCATCAATTTCCTCAGTAACAGAGAAGGATGTGATTAGGGTTAGGCTAATAAACGTCATGGTAAGTTTTTGGAAAGACTGAAAAAACAGCATGTCCCTTATGCTTCAAGTCAGTGCTGACTTTTTCAACACTTAACTAAAACCCTAACCTCAACCAAGTGCTTCGAGCTGCCTGAACACAACCATAGAAACCTTATTCATGCTTTAGCAGCCAAGAGCAGATACTGTTGGAAAACAAATTAAATAAAGGGAAGGTTTAGCAGTTTCTCCCCACACATGAAGTTAATTGTAAAGAAATACATATTGAATTTCAAGTGATAAATAACGTGTGTGTTTCTGTGGTTTGACTCCTTCTCTTCCTCTACTTTGTATAACCTCAAACCACATGGAAAAACAGTGTTGTATCCAGTTCAGCTGTGTGTTCTCAGTAGCGGGCTGGCGGTGTAGCTAAACATGTTCATATGACCCAAATCTATTACTATGATACACACTTTCTTCTTGAATAATATATTTTTTACAGGGTTCCTGTAAGAAGTAAAATTACAGTCACACGCAACAAAGCGTCAGCAGTCGTACTGAGCAATCCCACCTCCAGTTAAAACTCCCAGAGGCTTCCCTGTGTTGTCATAGCGCCTGCGACGTCTCTGATGTAATCGCTGTCTTCGAGCCAATCCCAGCATGAGGTTTCTCCAGCTCTGCTAGAGACTTGTTGGACCTCCACACGCACATTGTACCGCTCTGAAATGTGTTTCAGAGCTCAGGCAGATAAAGTTTTTAGTCAAACTGAGGTCAATTTTCCACATTTAGGCTGAAAATCACAGATTCTGTCACCCAGCCCAACATGTATCAGTATGTGGAGCATGACTGTGCTACATTCTTGATTTAGGTATGATGCATTTTGGAAAGAAAACTCATCAGCAGTGAATAATTTGGGCAATAACATGGGCAAGACACTGAACCCCCAAGTTGCCCGTGATGGTGGCGGTGCGTACGCTGCAGCAGCCCGGGGCCCTCGGCTCCAAACAGAATTTTGTTGTACTTGTTATAATGACAATGAAGAGGATTCTTCTTCTTCTAATTTTCATATAAAGCTTAATTTCATGTTATCCTATTCTCTGATCTGTTCATTTTCAGCTACTTTAAACTCGACCAGAGTCTCCAAATGTTTGATTCTTGCTATGCCTCCACATCGCCAATTATGTTTTTGGGTTGTCCATCCGTCCGTCCTATTCTTGTGAACGTGATAATGAAGGAATTTCTTCAAATTTGGCACATGTCCCCTTTGACTTAAAGATGAACTGATTAGATTTTGGTGGACAGAGGTCAAAGGCCACTGTCACCACATGTCCGTCCCATTCTGATGAACGTGATGTCTCAGGAACGCCTGGAGGGAATTTCATTATATCTGGCACAAATGTCCACCTGGAATAATGGATGAACTGATTACAATTTGTTGGTCAAAGGTCATGTTTGCTATGATTGTAAAGTGCTGGGTACTTTTGTAAATGTGATTCTTACAGGAGTAAATAGTGCATTTGTTTGGAACTGCTTATGTGGCTCTGGTACACCGTTGAGTTTGGTCTGTGGGAGTAACTTAAAAACTTACAGCACCCATGTTCATTGATGGCATTTTGTTTTTTGGACAACAAAGGTCTATAAAACTTGAGAAGAATCTGTAATGTAAGAACGCTTTCAAAAATACTGCTATAAATAGTTTTCATGCCTTCGTGCAAGCGAGAGCCATGACCGGGGGAATTACATTTTCAGGCTGACCGTCCGTCTCTCTGTACGTCCATCTGACCCATTCTCATGAAAACGATATGTCAGCAGCACCTTGAGGGAATTTGGCACATGCGTCCACCCGGACTCAAGGATGAACTGATTAAATTTTGGTAGTCAAAGGTCAGTGACCTCATGTCTGTCCCTTTCCCATGAATTTGACTGGTTGGCGGAGGCATACAACTGGGTGGCAGTAAATTTAGTGTGTGTATCAGTTTAGTGTTGGGGTCTGAAAACAAGTCCTTATTGTTTAACACCGGCACACAAGACCACTTAAAACTCTGCCAGCTAGAACAGATGTAAGGTCCGAGCATCTCCAACATGTGCACACACACACATTCATCACATGCATGCCTACAAACACATACAACTACAGTCAGACATGATAAATGTACAACAAAAACATATGGAGCTGAAACACTTACATAAGCACAAACAGTCCAAAGAAAGTTTGCACAGTTGCACAGAGGAAGTGTGTATAAATATGCAAACATATTTATAAGCACACATACATGACTTTCAGTCTCCTGGGGTTTGTTTGCCAAAATTGCTGTGAAGAACTGAAGCGTAAGAGGCAAGTAAGGGAGAAAGTGAAAGAAAGAATGGGACCCAGTCTGGAGAGGAGGACTGAAGGAGCTCTGTGTGTGTGTGTGTGTGTGTGTGTGTGTGCACCCTTCCTCTGTGCTGAAGGGGGCATCTGTATGCAAATGAGACACGGTTCTTCCTGGGTGACAAATCAAAAGGCCCACCTGCTGCAGGGGCCCGTCTGTGCCTGCGTGAGTGTGCTGGGAATAACAGAGCCAGTCTAATGAACAGAGTAGAGAGTTGCTGCTGTATCTTGGCCAAAGCGTCTCATTCCTCTCCTCTCACTCCTCGGAAGACATTAGTCGGCCTCTTTTCCTCTCCGCTCTTCTCCCCCACATGCGCACACACTCTCATCGCAGCTGTCTTGGAAAACCTGGCAGAGGTTGTTGAAGTTTTGGACATTTCACCTTATTGTTCTGGGAAATATTAACTGTGAAAACCTTAAACTTGTCATCGCAGCTTCATCCTCTTTCAAAATAAAAGTTGTTTGGTTTATACAATCTGGTGTAAAGTATGCTTGTCTTGAGAATTTACTGTATATGAATAATAACGAAAAGAAAATGTATGAATGTGAGCAGAAACTTGGTTTGTAACCACTTGACCTTGTCAGTTCCCGTTTCCTCAGCCTGTGTTCCTCCACTGCCCTCCTTTCCTCCTTCTCTCAGACCTCTTTTTTTTTTCTATTCACGTGTCCTTTGATCCCGCTCCATCTCGGTCATCAATCGTTTCTCCCTTCCTCCCTCTCTTGCATTATTCCTTCACCTCCTCCCTTCCTCCCTTTGCTTCCTCTCCCCCTTCATTGCTCCCTCCATCCCATCTATCTGGAGAATAGTGCAGCAGCAGCACTTAAGCCGACGACCAATTAGCAAGGAGCAGCAGTACTGGGGATGAGGCAGGCCACCATTCATCCTCGTGCACGCACACACACACACACACTCACCTTTATGGCACAACAGATTTATTACATACCCATACAATACAAGGCAGTGCTGCTTCCAAATATAGCTTCTCTCTGTCTTGCTCTTTTCGTTTCTCTCCCTCTCCATCCATCTTAATTACTTGAAAAATGCATAGTAAATGTGAGGCTTTACTCCACGTTGATGTATTTATCCTACACATTATGTTTGGGAGTCTGCAGGTGCTCACAGTGTTTATTCATCTGAAGCTGATCATCAATATGAATCACTGTCACCCTTGTGTCTTTAAGTTGCAGGTCATAAAAATGTTTCCTGCTGTACTGCAGTGGTGAAGTGCATCTAAAATTTTCTTTCATTTTGAATTAAATAGGTCTTGATTAGTACTGTGTGGGTGCAGGCAAAGAGGGGGGTGGTTCTGGGACACTGGAACACCTTCACAGTGTTGTGAGCCCAACTCAACAAAACACCAGTTAGAGAGAGGATGTCCACCTGATGACCCTGTAGACTTGCCTTCACTCTTACACCCACACTATCTGCTCTTTGCTTGGGTGAGGACAGGGTTCGGGGATGCTTTGTGTTAAGGGTAGGTTAGGTCTGGAAAATGGTGCTGCTTGTTGTGCCGTGGTGTGGTGCCCCCCCCCCCCCCCGAATAACGGTTAAACATCATTTAACTTGTATATGGAGCTTCCATAGGGATGCTCTCCCATTCTCTGGCACATTTAATTGTGCATTACTGACCATTAGATATAACTGTTTTAATGTTACTGGCAGTGTGGGTAATAATTTCTTGAAAGGTAAACATCAAGATCAAATTAAATGTCTATAAAAAATATTAAACTCTCACTGCTGCTTCTAATGTTTCCAAAATAAGGTGGTTTAGATGTTTCATTAGTGCAGAAGGTGCTCAGCTTGTGCGACCG